TTTCAGAATTTGTAAGTGTTGATCTGCATTTTAATTTTTTTAACTCCATCTAGACTTTACATTCGGTTCCTTGTATTATCTGGTTGTAAAATATTACTACATATCCCAAATCAAAAAATGTAAAAATATAATATATATCCCAAACTCAGAAAAATATAATAGCATTTAGTTGACATAAAAATAATTAATAATTTTCTTTTTAGAGAATAGTACATTGAGTATTATTTTCTTTAATTAATAAAATATGACATTATATGTGTTCCTGACAAGGTTCTAAATAATGTAAAACGTGATTTGACGGCAATGTCAAGCCTCAAGTTTTTTCAAGCCTTAACGAGTCACGCGACGTTTGTAAGGCGTGACTTTAAGGCGGTAATTTTCTATATATTAATATTTTATATGTATTTCAACTATTATTTATTTTTATAACATTATGAGTTAAGACGGGCGTTTTGGTAAAGCTTAGCGGCATGTGCGAGCCTTGGAGCCATGACGCGCTTTTTAGAACATTGGTTCCTGATGATGTGAGGTTGAACAACTTACTTTATAAAGAATATTGAGTAAACTAACATAATGTAACAGTGTATTTAAAAAAAACCAATTTTTTTCTTTGGCAAAATAACCACTAAGTCCAAAATACAAAAGTACGAACCAATAAAAATCACTTTTTTGACAATAAAAAATTTATATTTGGATTTCAGACTTCGAACAAAAACTCCAAAATTTCAAGAAAAGTCCAAAATCTAATCACCAATTCCGAATTTCAAGATAAAAAAATCATTTTTACTGTAATTTAACAAAAATTAGCATACGATATTAGGACTTAAAATCAAAAATTTTATTTCGAATCGGACATTTCGAACATATGTTAAAAATATTTCTTTAAAACAACATTATAAAAAATAACTCTGAAATTTAAAAAACAAGTCCAAATTGGAACATTAGGAGAAAATGACATATTTCAAAACTAAAAAATATAGTTATTTTCTTAAATAAAGTTATAAATAAATAAATAAATAAGAAAAAAAAAACTCATTTAGAGTTGTATGTTTACTTAATTTCCGGTTTTATAATGCTATTATATTGCTATGTGATATTAACCACATATAAATAAATATTTATTTACATGTTATAAAATTATCCCATATCAATAAACCTTTAATAGTTAACATATTATAATAAATAAAGGTACAAATTTTACAATACATATATAAATTCTTTTGTAAAACTAAAAACAAGATTTACAGTTTAACTATTGATATTTTTTATTATGTGTTTGATAAAACATATACAATATTTAGTTTATTATTTAAATATATATATATATATATATATATATATATATATCTATATATATATATATATATATATCTATATATATATATATATATATATCATAATTTTTTTAACAAAACACAGCAATATTAGCCTCATTTCAAAACTATGACTATTTCTTTTTGAAAGTAATATTCTATTTCTCCTGCATGATTATAATGAATTAAAAAGGGCAATTCCAAGCCAACAACCCACCACCTATTAATGGGAATCTAAGATTTGGACTGTTACATTATTTTTGAGATCATCATTTATGGATCCACTCAAAGGTTTAATTTTTAGTCAACACCTTTTCTTATATCGATTTGGTATATAAAAGGAATAATATAAAATCAAATTAGATGTTATATTATTTTTTATAAAAAAATAATGTTGGGCTGGAGAAAATGTTATGAAAAAGCTGTTATAAATGAGATTTATGTTTTTTTTTTTTTGCCATCAAAATTATATAAAATTTCATATGACAAATTTTAGTCCACGTTTATGCAGATTCTGTTTGATTTCATTGACTAGTTATATATTAGATGTAATGATCTATATATAAAATAGATATTAATTAATTAGTTAATTGATCGTAAATATAATCTTTAATCGTTATGTTTTAACCTATTTAATAAAATAACAATAATCTCAGATCAAAAGGTTAGAAGAGTCGTACTGTGCCTTTTATATTCGAACCTCTCCAAGAACGGCGGAGATAAGAGTCGATTTACCAGAGCCGACTTCACCGCAGATAGCCACTTTTTTCCGGTCAAAACTTCAAGTTTTACATCGGTAAGTGTCGGTTTCGAAGAATCATCATTCCATGAAATCGATTCACAATTGATTACTACAGCTCGATCTTCCATGTTTCCATGATTCTTCCCGTCTTTCTGCAACTCCGGCGCCTGTAAAAACTCAACAACACGAGTCAACGCAACCCTTCCTTCAATAAACACAGCTGCAACATCAGAAATAGCCTGAATCGGCTCCTGAATGATCCGAATCGTTGCCAGAAACGTGAACACGTTACTCGCATTAAGCTCGATTCCCAACAAATAACAGGTCCAAAACGTCACCACCGCTACAATCGCCGGAGAGACGACCAAAACATAAGCATGAAAACCCCTCTTTGCATCATAACCGCAGATAACCATTTCATCTCTTCATTTCTTAACTCTTCGGCCGCCTCCCGGAAGTGTGTCTCCCAAGCGTACAACTTCAGAACCTTCATGTTTGAAATCGCCTCTGTTATGGCCTTCAACCGCCGGTCTTGCGCCCCCATGAGTCGTTAGGTACTTATGCTGTAATTGTAATTTCCCCAACGGAATGTTTACGACGACTGTTAATATTATTACCAATAAAGCTGCGATCGTTGCTACTCCGATTGAATAATAGATTATGAAAATCCCTAGACAGATCTGAAGAGCGATTGTCCATATGTTATGAAACCAAAACGGAACCTCTCCGATTCTAGTAGCATCAACGGTGGCGTAATTCATGATTTGACCGGAGGAGTAAATCAATTTAGCATCGTTTGATAGCTGGAGCTGCTTCTTATAAATTGCTGCACATAACATGGATTTGACTTGGAGTCCGATGACTCTACTCCGAAACTTTAGTTGTCTCTCCGATATCGATTCCAGACATTTGGCTAGAAATAACCCTAACGTCAGAAATACCCTTCGTTCTCGAAACTTTCATTCCCTTGAACAAGTTGAATGAAAGCTCGAAGAATCAAAGGACCTGAAGCCAACGCGAGCACTTTTATCAGCGCAAAAATACCAGTGATTACGAGCTCTTTCCGTTGCCAAACGAACAACGTCGATAAGACCGGCGGATCGGAATCACCATGACCACCGGAAACACTCTTTGCTCGCCGTTTCTCCAGCGTCTCCATGAAACTGGAATAACATTCTTCTGATGTGTCTTCCTTTCGTAGCTTTGGGATGTCTTTATCGTCGAGAACTTGACTTTTCCCTTTGATCATCAACGGATTTAGCCACCAGAATGTGAATATGCTTAACACTCCGGCGTTGGCCATCGGAGTAACATTTTCGTCTGGTGGTGGATTAGCTTGCAGAGGCGCATAAAGTGAACCATCTACCATTATGCAAGTTCTTCTCCAATGAAGGTCTGAAGAAAGGAGATTCTCCGATGAAGGTCTGGAGAAAGGAGAATAGAGTCGGTAGTTTTGTTGTAAAACTGATGTGTGGACTGAAGTTCAGATAACAAAATCGGTGGTGTTTATAGCTGCAGAGATCGGACCACCATAGCAGCTAAATCAATAATGAAATCCACAAAAGCCAAAAGCAATTATGCAGAATGAAATCGACAAAAGACATGTGTTTTGCAATATTCACGAGTAATCGATTTTTATGTGATTTGAGATATGTGAGTCAAAGAATCCAACCTCTTTCTAGAAATGATTATTAAATTTCATTATTTAAAAGAATATTCAATATTTTCGAACATATAACACATGATAACTATCTTCTTTTTGTGGAAAATTAAAGATTTTCGAAACTACTTAGGTGTTGTTTGTTTTTCTTCAAAAACCTCTTCAAAGCTTTTTATTGCTGTGGGGCGCAGCACATGCGTAACATTTTAGTCCCGCAACAGTTTTTTTCGGAAGTCTTCGGGGCTTAAAACCTCTGCCCGTGTGCTTCTTGGGGAAGCACTTGTTGTAACCTCTTCCCACCCCTTCTAACCTAAACCTAAAAACATCCGACCCCAAAAAAAACATACGCCTTCTTCCAGAAATCGAAACCCATCGCGTCACATCTTCTCTGCCATCGATCTCCACCTCGCAGTTGCCCCACCTTGTCGGCGCCTCCTTCTTCCTTCTTCGTCCGGCAGTATACACAGGTACGTTTTTTTTTTCTATCGATTCCTGATTGGCATTTGGATTCGTTTGAGATCATAAATTGGTGGTGCTGATTTCTTTTTTTTTGCATATATGTTGCTGAATCATCCATAATTTCGGCTCCTTCTTCCCTTTTCCTCCAGCAGCCCAACGAATTCCTTCACAAGTATGTAAAAAAAAAATTCTTTCTGTTTGTTTTCTATCATTTCCACCTGATGCAAGTTTATTGCTAAATTGTTATTTGTTGCTGTAAGGTCACCTGTTATGTGGTGAAGTGTCATAAATTATGCTTAAATGTTTGTTGAATATGCCAAAATCTTTGTTGAATTGTTTGTTTTTCAATTATAATAGTTATAGTTTATTGTTGAATGGTCACAAATATATGCTGAAATATCATAAATTTTGCTTAGATGTTTGTTGAATATGCTAAAACAATTGCTGAATATGCTAAAATCTTTGCTTATATGTTTTTTATTCATGATGCATTATTTTTTATTTTTTAATGTCTGCAGCAGTCTGCAGATGTTAACAAAAACAAACACACTTCTTGTTACAGTCTGCAACCGTTTGATCCACCTCTTCTGCTGCAGAGGTTTGCAGAGGTGGTCCGCAGACTTTTTAAATTTTTGCTTCAGAAAAACAAACAGCACCTAAATGTCTCTACCTCTTGACAAACAAAGATTATGATAATTTTAAAGATTGAGAGAGTCCATCTCTTTCAATCTTTTCACAACTAGGTGACACATTGGGTTTTTAATTTTTATTTTTTTCAATCTACAATAAATAATCAATCTTTCCTAACCCACTTCAAGTTCCAATGTACAAATACCAAAGCATATGTCACAAGTTGATGGAGAATAGGTTAAGCCGGTTCAACTTCAACATAATGGATGAAGCCACCTCAACTTCATCTAGCATGTCATGGAATCGTCATCTTGGAGGCAAGGCCGACCCAGATATAAGGTGACATGGCAGGCCGACCCATAAGGGTGGACAAGCTGGGCCACAGCCTAAGGCACATATGTGGTTTTTTGTTATGAGTAAATAATTTAAGAGTGTATATTCTTTTTAAATATTTAAAACATGTTTAGTAATAAATTAACATAAATTAATAACGCTTTCACTATCTAATATGAATGATGAGAGGCATGGTTTTAAATTTTCATAATAAGTCCTTTAAATTTAATTCATGTATATTTTTTATGGGCTCACTTTTTATTTCGCCCGAGATCCAAAATATGTTTGTATCAGCCTCGTGACATAAGCCATAGCCCAAGGTAGCATATAGAATGGCGCAGTGTTATGGGTAAAGAGAGATTTATTATAGTTAATATAGTGGAATGGTGAGCTTTCTAAATTGTTTACTTACTGAGTTAATACTATTTTCATTCGTTTATGTGGATTTCAAGTGTGGTCTTAAATAATGGATTGTATAGGTTGGCTTGGAGGTTTTCTATGCATTGTAATTTTCTAAATGCTCTATTAGTTAAGAAAAGCTTTGATGGTAAAAAAATAACTTTTTCTAACAAAAATAAACAAAGTAATTTAAAAATAATATAATAATAAAATAGTCAAAAAGATAAAAAAAAAAAAGTTAATTTTGTGATTTATTTTATATACATTCCAATATTTTGAGGTATTTACAAACCAAACAATATTTTATTATAGAATTGATTTCGATTTCATTCTAAATCTATCCAACCACAAACCACGACACAACATAAATTCTTACAATTTCAAATCCTTACATAGATTCTTATATAAATCCCATAAAAATAATCTCACAATCGAAACAGAAACAACCTTTTATTATTCATGATTTCAACTATTTCAAACCCTACAATCATATCGAAATCAAGTTTCTAGACCAAAATCCAAAATTTCAGAAAAAAAACATATCACCTCATTCCCATTCATTGAAAGGTAAATACAATGGTGATAACTCTTATTTCTCAATGATCTGATCATTGCTAAACTAATCCCATTATTATTATTATTCTTATTATTATATTATTTTATTATATGATCTTACCTAACATCTGATCATGAGGTTTTATGTTGTGACCAATATTAATTAACAAGTAGTGTAAATAAAGAATCAGGTTCATTCATCAATTTTGAGGGTTTATCATACTCCATCACCTTTCCGTAATTACAAAACACGAAATCAAATCAGTCGTTTGCTTAGATGGAATGGAATCACAAAGTAATGGAATATATTCCTTCAACATGAGTGGTCATTTCCATTCCTCAGACACGAAAGAAACATATATATAGTAAAAAAAGTCAAAACCTCACCATCCTTCATAAAAAACAATCAATAATCATGGGATTTTGTGTGCGACTGTAATTTTATGTAATCTTGAAATTCTTCCCGAAATTGTTTTATGAATAATAGTGTCAGTTGCATTATCGATTGAAGTTGTGGCTTCATCAAGTACAAGGATATTTCTTCTTTTCAAAAGTGTTATTCCTAAACAAAATAGATGTCGTTTCCCAAATCCAATTCGATCCATCTTGGACAACTGTATAATAATCCAACACATAATGGAATGGAGCATTAACATAGAATGGAATGTGAATTCTGATTTCTATCCATAGGGAAAGGGTTTTTTTTTAATTTCTTGATGGAATGGAATGATATTTTATATTTATAAATTAGTTTTATTAAAATAATTTTAAGCAAATTGCAAGAAATAGTAACGTACTTTATTCTTTTTACCAATATAGGCAATGTACTTACAAGTCTTTACCCATAAAAGTCATATTTCCTATAACACTAGTTCTAGGTATGAGTCAATTTTTAAATATTAACTTTTATTTTTGGGTGGGTGGCCATGGTGTGTGGCGGTATTGTTTTGGATCGCGGGTTTTAAATGACCCGCCATAGCATGGCGTGTTTTTTGGAGAGAAACCCTAATCTTTAGGGTTTGGGCCCTATTTAAAAACACATTAGGCAAGTGTTTTATGATCATTCAGCCTCCATCAGCCTTTCAAGCTCATAAACCCTAACCCTAGCCTCCATTTGCATTTTGTGAAACAATTCTTGGTGTTTTAGTGACTTTGAAGGAGAAAGAAGCGCTTGGTTGGTAGTTACCTTGCAAGTCATTAATCATCTAACCCATCTTCTGGACCTTGGTGAGTGTCCAAGACCCAACCTTTTTCCTTGCTAAGTTGCTAGATCTTTATATTTTGTCCATTTCTTCATGTATTGATGGTCTTAGTGGTGAGATCTCATAGATTTTGCAAGTTAATGATCTCCAGGCCATTATGAGTATTGGTGCTTCGGATCTGGATTTAGAAATGAGTTTTGGTGTCATGCATGGATTTTTTGGCCATTAACCCTCATTTGACCTAATAGGAGTAAGACTGCATGTCTGAAAACATAGATTTTTATGTTTGTAATGGGCCTAGAAACCTTTCCAGGATCGTTGGGACAAGAGGTCTTCAAGATTTAGTTCTTACTGATTAATCCAAGTTGTGTTTTTGCCTTTTTTGGACTAGGAGTTGAGATCTTTATCTCATGGAGGGTCTAAAGGATAAGTGGAAACTTTAACCATTAGACCATAGAAGGACCAGATCTGAGCTTTGGAGCCCTTATAATCGTAGAAAAAGACTTAACCCATTAAGTGTAGGAACCAGTGGCCACCACAGACTTAGGTCGTCACGACGTGGCGATTGGGCTAGGGCCGTCTGTTTTGTCGTACCCTGCCACGGTTGGCCAAGGATGGTCACGGTGGGGTTACGACTAGCTAGAGGTGACTTTTGACTTTGACTTTTGACCATTGACCGTTAAACTTGACCAAGTTTGACCTTGGTCATTTGATTTTGTGTGGATATAAGGTGTCTAAGTCCATAACTATTTCTGGTATGTACTTGACCCGACCCGGCATGGTCCATTTGGGTTGCATGGCACCATGCAATTGGATAAACTAAAATGAGAGAAATAACACTTATGGTTTATTAATATATTATAAGTTCTAATATATTAATAATATTATTTAATTAGTTTGATCAAGAATTAATTTAGAATTAATTAAGTGATCAAAAGATAACTAATTAAATATATGGGTAGATTATGTAAATCTTCCATATCTTATATAGTGGGCTAAGAGGCTCCATGGATTATCAAGTTGGGTTCCACCCATAGGATGCTCCATGGATGCTCCATGGGAGTTACAAACCCATGGGTCATGGAAATGAAGAGTCATGACACATTAGGGTTTACATGGTGTAACCCTAGA